CTCACCTCGACAAATTTACCGTCTAAATTTCATTGCTCAATTTACAAGCGACATTCGACATAATGACAGATCTCAAAATCTTGTTGCAGATGCCTTTTCAAGAATCAACAGCATTAAGTTTCCTAAATCATTGAACTTTGAGGAAATCACTCATTTTCAAAAAATGATCAAGAATTGCAACACATTTTATGTGATACAAATTCTAGCATTAAACTTCAACAACTTCCAATACCCAACAGTGAAAATTTCATATTCTGTGATACGTCCACTAAATTCATTCGTCTATTTATTCCTGAAAAGTTTCGTACCCAAGGTTTTGACGCCATGCATAATCTTACTCATCCTGGTGTTAAAACTACTGTAAAGCTAATTGCTCTGATCGTTTTATTTGGCCAAACATGAAAAGAGAAATTGCAAAGCTAGCCAGATGCAGCATAGCAAGTCAAAAATCGAAAGTTTCACGCCATGTTCACTCGCCGCTGCAGGAATTTATTGTTCCAAGCAAAAGATTTAGCCATATAAACACTAAGTTGGACCTATGCCTTCTTCACAAGGGTTTTCATATTGTCTCACATGTATCGATGGGTACACAAGAAGGACTGAGGCAATACCGTTGACAAATATACAAGCCGAGACAGTTGCTCAGGCTCTTTACATTCATTAATTTGCTAGATATGGGACCCCTGAAGGCATAGCAACTGATTGAGGATCTCAGTTCAGAAGAGAACTATTCCGTACTCCAGCAAGACTTTGGTATACGTCTTTCACGTGCAACGTTATATCATCTTCAAGTGAACGGAGTGATAGAAAAGTGGCATCTTAAGCAGTCCATCATGCGTCCTACCTCAATCCACTGGACTTTTGCCTTCCCGCGGTGTTACTTGGATTGCGCTCCGTATCTAGAGAGGATTTGGGATGTTCTCCAGCTGAGTTAGTTTATGGAGAGAATCTTCATCATCCGGGATAATTTTTTACCTCTTCGGAAATAGGAAAGGTCGATAATAAGTTTTTGCGAAAAGTGAATCGTCATCTGCAAGATCTTAAACCAGTTCCGACCTCTTCTCACGACAAAAGGCATGTTTTTGTTTTCAAAGGCATAGTTTCTTGCACACATGTCTTATTACGAGTTGATGCAGTAAAACCAATTCTTCATACACCTTACACTGCAACCTATGACGTTTACAGTCGTAAAGACAAAACTTTCACTGCCCGAATCAAAGGTGAAAACTGTGTAGGGTCAATTGATAGAGTAAAACCAGATCATTTACTCTCAGACAGTTCTGATTTATCGGAACCGCAGGAGAGTTCTTCCAAATCGGTACATAATGCTCTTGTTTTACCACCAACTGAAAATGACTCTGAAAATGATCGAATCCCTGCAGCTATAAAAAAGAGTCATTTCGGACGAGCGGTACACTTTCTGCAAAGGCTAACTGAGGCATTTGAACTTAAATTATTATTTTTTTCCTGAAGGGGACATGGTGTGACAACCGCCATCGATCGTACGAAACTTTAACTGCGCTGAAACCGTCTACCAATTGTCGCGTTTTTTTATCATCCTCTCACGAGTTTGCTCAGTATCGAAACATTATCGTTCTTTTCTTAAGCGCTTTTACAAATCTGTTATATTTAATAATAAAAGTTGTTAAGTTTGTTTGTTATGTGAGTTCGTGATTATTTCTGAGTTAATTCACCTTCTGATCTAAACAAACTACACGAGCTTACACAGCGTTGTATTTAATTAACTTCACGTTAATTAAAATTCTAACTTAAGTGAAGAAACTTTGATCGACTTAAACACGCCATCTTGTTTATCAGATGGCGCTGAGGTCATAGGTTACGCGTCTGTGTATCAGTGATCATCTTCATCTCGAGTTGCTAGTACCCAATTAGGGATACAAAAATATTTATAGGCAAACAATACCTTTATGACTTTTATTAATTTTATGTTGATGGTAACCAAAACAAATATTGAAATCAATGGGGGGAAACTGGATCCTACCACGAGATTTACCAACCAATAAATGCACCGACAACAGGGGAAAACTGTGTTAGACTAATATGGTTTTATGTCATATAGAGATATCAGCCTGCTTGGTAAGCAACCTTATTAAATGAAAGTTGTAAACTCGCCAAATTTGTTATAACAATAGACATTTAATTCTAAGCATTATTTCAAAAAATGATTACTGAGCAAAATTATTTATGTTTACAAACAAATCTTAATAGTAACCTAATGAAAATGTTTGGACGTTGAAAGCCTATGCAGACACAGTTCTTTTCAGAACATATATCAGCAAACAGTTTCAAATTTCGTACAAAAATTGTCTTATGCTAACACTGAAAAAGAGGGGGAAAAAACTACGGCAAAATAATTTATTGCGAAGAAAACAAAAATGATTGCGTTGCAATTATTGGGGGAGGGGGTGGAAATCGACAGAGAGCAGGGGATTAGAGCACTCTTATGCATAATATAATATAATGTAATGTAATGTAATGTAATGTAATGTAATGTAATGTAATGTAATATAATATAATATAATATAATATTTTATAGCATTTTGCTTTAATGTTATACAATTAGGGATTGATTTAACTGTTTTGAAACGAAATTGAAAGAAAAGGCGTCCTTTAATCGTCTACTAGTTTAGAGGATTATCTTGTTTACAAAGATTTGTCAGGAGCTGCCAGGTATTCTTGGCAGATTGGAAAAGAACTCTGGAATTATTTTCTTTACTAAAGATTAGGGAAGATAATCGATTCTTGTTTTTGAAAGTTGAGTTTTTGTTTCGTAACTCTGAGACTCTATAATAAAAAATTTTACTTTAGCTGTGAAGAAAGATCTGTTAAAATATTTATTATTTAATAAGGATGCCTGAAATATTTTCATTTTTTTGTAATTATTAGAAATTGTCTATTTTCTTTTCATACACTGTTGACATTCTCGGAAACATTTTTGACTTGCTGAAATTAATCTGTGACAATTACGAGTCAAACAATATTAATATCTACTTTAAGCTATAATGAAATTCGCAGAAGTAATATAATTTGTTTTAAAGTTTAATAATTTGTACAGTGCGTACAAAAGGTAAATACTTCCATCAAATGATCGGATTTACACATAATGGAATTTAGGTTCGGTAGCCGAACCTTAAATATATTATTAATTCAATTAGACGATTTTTAAAGATACTAAATCAGACACAGAAACCTACTTTTTCATAGTAAACATACCTGTTTTTCGACATATTTCGATAGTTGAACCGTTTAAGTTAAAAATCCAATTCCATCAAAAACATGTCAGAAAAAATATGCTTTTGCGTATGATTTTGTAACTTCAAATATCGCCTGAATTAACTTACCAGCATATTTAAGATTAAATTTTCGAATCATTAAAATTGAGTCTATGTGAGTGAAAATACAATCATTAGAACAAAAGTTTTCAATTTCGTTCTTCCTTTTTTTCATCCATTGAAGAGTACTGTGATAACTTGTTTCAGTTGGAAAATGTATACTTATCCAGATCAGATGAGGAAACTAATGTACCTGATTTACTCACAAAACATTACAGAATTGAATAGTTGCAAGTAATGTCTTCAGTGGATCAGCCAATCAGATTCGACACGTACGTGTATTCAATTCTCAGGCATCCAAATATATCTGCTCTGAAAATTGATTCAACATCATAATTAACCCAAGCCTTAGAGCTGTCAAGTTAAAAGATTATGCATAACCGAGTGATTTGACACAGCCATGTCATAAGTTGTAAGTAAACAATCACTTAAAGAGTTTTCCAATGATGTAGAATTGAATTGCATCAAGTTCATAGCTCAGGGTTTTAAATATTTAAAAGTCTCAAAACATTTAACTCAATAGTTAAATCCAGAAACCTTCTTTTTTTCCATCGCAAAACTATCAGTTTTTACCTTAGTATGAGAAATAGCTACTCAGAGATGTTTTTAAAATAATAGTTTCTTTACTGCTATTTTTTATCCACTCAAATCCAGCGAAAAACATAAATATTGACAGACAGAACCTCGCAATAAAATAATAACAGCAACGACTTAATAAAATAATACAAAATAACAATAAAACAATAACAGTGCTGCTTTAAGATTACAAACAGTAAATTTTGTGATCTAAAAATACACATAAACCAACACTACTCAAACGAATTAAAGTCAACAAAACCTAGGTTCGGTAGCTGATCTTGTTTGGTTCTGAGCCCACTCGTTGGACACACACGAAAAAAGTGGACAATAAACTGTTGGCAAATAAGAAGAGAACATTAGGTTAAACTTACGGTGAAGAAAACGCAAACAATATTTGACAAATCGTGCACAATAAACTCAAAGATACCTACATTTTGTGAAACGGCAACGTATGATATATGTAGTATGAAATCACTTGGACACTTTCAGAGATTAGGAAGACTTTGACTCAAACAAGAACTCTAATATTTTACAAGAACTTAGGCGTCAGTAAAAGAGGTTCGCTATCTCTAGCTGGCACTTGACATTGTTGAAAACATTCTCAACGTGCTATGCGCTTTAAAAATCGGTAGTCTATGGTATTGGATTGGCTGCAGTAGATTTAGGTGGTCATGGTCTGTTCTCTGCTGCAGCGCCAAAGAACAAGAAGGGCTTTTTATATTAAAAGAGTATATAAATAAATGTAGCATCTTTTTATATTAAAATTTTTTTTAAGATTAAAAGTATGAATTTGCTCTGCAGAAGAAGTATAGATAAAAAATTAACAATTATAGTAATTACTTGATGATTTCAAAAATTTAGCCACCACATTGTTAAAAATAGTTACAAAATTTTAAAAAAATCCATATAATCAGGTACAATAATTTAATTCTTTCTAAAACTCTTACAATTAGTAAAATTGAACAGTCAGAATTGTATTAAATATCTTAGTTTAAAACTTTTGCAGTTAATTCTTTATGTTATTTCTGAAGAGGGTCAAAAAGTCTTTAAAATAAAATATTTTCTAACCTCCTTCAGCTTGACAGATGAGAAGAAGACTATCCCCTTCATTAAATGGTCCAATTACTCCATTTAAAATTTTCCCATTGTGATCTTTAATAATGGGTTCTCCAGGAGGAACTAAAAGGGAAACACCATAGTTAGATAAAAATAGTTTGTGGTTTCAAGGATACTTAAAATATGAAACTCAATTTAATGCAAAGTATCTATGTGACTCATATATGAATTTGAAAAGAGGTTATGTCAAATATATATAATAGACATATGAAAGAAAAATAATAGACATATGAAAAAAAGGGGGGGGGGAATAATAAGTAAAAAAAATAAAACAAATTATTCAAAAAAAAAA